TTCTAAAAGGTATCTTTACGCAGAACGCTTTGGCGTAAAAAACTTGTCCTATTTTTTGAAAATGTTGCCACTGCGTCCTTCCGACTATGACCTATTTTTTACCAAAACTTCAACTTTGGGCGACAAGTTGGGATCAGAAAACTGAAAGCCGTTTTGGAAACGTCAATATGTTTTCTATTTACTCCAAAAGTATTTTCCCAGCCCTGAAAGAAATGTGGACCCTATGGGCAAAAAAGTAAAAAATGCCATTTTTGGGATTTTCATTCCTATTTTTGGGAATTTCGGAATGCCCTTTGACCTTTTCAATTTTTTTTTTTGCATTTTCTTATTTGAAATGACAAATTTAACAAGCGTTGAAAATTTCATTGAGTTTTGTTCATAAATAAAGATTTTGTCATATATTACATATTTGTTTAATTTCTAAAACTATGATTTATATCAAAATTTTAATAGGGTCGCAGATAGCTACAACAATTTAGTCCATATTTATCCCTTAATATCATTTTTTAGTTAGATATGGAAATTCTCGACCCTTTACAAAAAATTTCAAGCCAATATCTCAATTACATTCAAAAATATGTTCATTTAAACCTGTGTCCTTTAATTTCATCTTTTTCATATTTTAGTATTAAGTATGACAGAACATACATTTGGTGTTGAATAAAATATTTGGACAATTTTTAAAAATTATTTAGTTAATTATTTTATTAAAAACTATAACATTGAATATACAATAAAAAAATTATAATTTTATTATGAGCCACGCACAACAACACCTAAATCACTCCACACAAACCACCATTCCCGCCCACCGAAATATAAAACACAATTTAATACAATATCATCAGTTAGTATAATAGCTTTTTTTATTTGAACTGTTTATCTTAAACATAATACAATTAATTCTTACAACCTACTTATATAGTTAATTCCTAACACTACTTATTTTCTATAAAATAATCTGTCATATCGGTATACATATCCAGAAGGTAATATAAGTCCTTTAAATCTTCCTTGTTTTGAGATGATAGAGTTTCATAACAAATCCATCTTTTTCGTATAGTTGAAAGAACAGGATCAGAAGATAGAAGTAAACTATTAAAAATATCTTCATTCTGTGATTACCTGGAGCATTTTCTTCAGCTGAATAGTTGAACATGCTTAAAATCTCGATTCCTCGCTTTCTGGGCTTCTTCTGTTAACTCTCCAAGTGGAAGAATATTCGATTCAATTATTATTTGACCATGACACAATACTTTGTGTACTGTTGGTGTTAGTCCCTCCATGGATACAAAGATACAAGTAATTTAGAAATTTCAGATGTATATTCCCCAAATCGATTTCCATTAATTTTATGTTTACTATTCAGTGCCATTAAAATAGTGTTAACTCTTGTCGATTCCAGTTATTTTTGAAGTAATTTCAAAAACCTTCTCGCCGTATTACCGTCATTTGTACTACCGCAACTTGGAAGTGGTTTGTCGATGTTTAATCCCATCTGAACTTTAAATTCTTCTTGGATTCTGCTTTTTTCCGCAGCTCTAAGTTCTTTCAATTCTTCATTATTAAATATTCCACTAAATCTTTTGTTGTTTTCTTTGACTCCTTTATATATTCAAATCCAATGGGTCTACAAAAATTTTTTGAACCCGGAGTTGTATTGATCCATATATCTTCAAATGAATTTCCGATGCTTGACGATGATGGATTAAGGGAATATGAACGAATACGTAATGGCACTAATGATGACATAAATACACTTTTGTAGTCTGCTAATGTCCGACTTCCACAAGCTTGTTTGTATTCTGGAAGTGCTGATAAACCGTCACATCCCCACTTACACATTAAGACAACATCACAGTTATGAATTTTCCTTAGTTTTCCTTAAACGAAACAGAACGAAATGATCTGTCAAAAAAATTTAGGTAAAAAATAGTTATAAATTTCTGAAAATTTAAGCATAACAGGACCTTTCAATTATAAGGATAAGCAAACAAATAGAAAATAGGTAAATATAAGATTTAAATATGTTCTGTCATATTTAATACTAAAATATGAAAAATATGAAATTAAAGGATACATGTTTAACTGAACATGTTTTTGAATGTAATTGAGATATTGGCTTGAAATTTTTTGTAAAGGGTCGAGAATTTCCATATCTAACTAAAAAATGATATTAAGGGATAAATATGGACTAAATTGTTGTAGCTATCTGCGACCCTATTAAAATTTTGATATAAATCATAGTGTTAGAAATTTAACAAATATGTAATATATGACAAAATCTTTATTTATGAACAAAACTCAATGAAATTTTCAACGCTTGTTAAATTTGTCATTTCAAATAAGAAAATGCAAAAAAAATTGAAAAGGTCAAAGGGCATCCCGCAATTCCCAAAAATAGGAATGAAAATCCCAAAAATGGGATTTTTTACTTTTTTGCCCATAGGGTCCACATTTCTTTCAGGGCTGGGAAAATACTTTTGGAGTAAATAGAAAACATATTGAGGTTTCCAAAACTGCTTTCAGTTTTCTGATCCCAGCTTTGGGATTTTAGAACATGTCGCCCAAAGTTGAAGTTTTGATAAAAAATAGGTCATATTCGGAAGGACGCAGTGGCAACATTTTAAAAAAATAGGACAAGTTTTTTACGCCAAAGCGTTCTGCGTAAAGATACCTTTTAGAAAACTATAAAATTGTTATATGTTCTTAAAGAAAATTTTATTTTATTAATAAAAGAGTTAAGACACATTTTTGGCAAAAAAACGGCAAGAATCTAAAATTTTTTGAATTTTTAAATTAAAAAACGTATATTTTTGGATCTGTAAATGATATTGATCTGAAATTTTTTGTATATTATTGGAAATATTACGCCCGGTATTCAAAAAAAAGGCGGACCAAGGTATGGTAAATTTTGTATCACTAAATTTTTAAATGCCTATAACTCGGATATTATAAGAGATAAGTAGTATGTTGAAGTTTTGATAAAAAATAGGTCATATTCGGAAGGACGCAGTGGCAACATTTTCAAAAAATAGGACAAGTTTTTTACGCCAAAGCGTTCTGTGTAAAGATACCTTTTAGAAAACTATAAAATTGTTATATGTTCATAAAGAAAATTTTATTTTATTAATAAAAGAGTTAAGACACATTTTTGGCAAAAAAACGGCAAAAATTTTTGAATTTTTAAATTAAAAAACGTATATTTTTGGATCTGTAAATGATATTGATCTGAAATTTTTTGTATATTATTGGAAATATTACGCCCGGTATTCAAAAAAAGGCGGACCAAGGTATGGTAAATTTTGTATCGCTAAATTTTTAAATGCCTATAACTCGGATATTATAAGAGATAAGATCTCGTCGAGCGCTTTCAGAAAATATAAAAATCTTTGTATTTGGGTGAAAAACACACAAATGGCACGAGTTTAAAAATTTTACATGTCGTAGGTACCCTACTTTGAGCCGCCACAGCGCCGTCCCTGGGGCATCTGCAGGGTTCATCTTCAAAACTTAAACTCGAATACTCCTTGGCTACGCTCACGCCAAATTTTATCCCGATCGGATCAGCCGTTTAGAAATGCCAGATTTATTTCCAAAAAAATCCGATTCTGCCCCACTGTGCACAGATAAAAAGCAGTTTTTCTTGTTTTTCATTCTGAATGTACCTTGTGATATGTCCATTAAGGATCAAAAAAGAAATTTACCACATTTTGTTTGCAACATATCTATTAGGATATTCAATTATTCGGTTTTTGCCTTATTCGGTTTATTCGACAAATCATTATTTGAGGTTTTAAGTAACCGGTTAATAATCGGAAAAATCAACATTATTCGGTTAATCGAATAAAAGGAAACTGGATGTGTTTTATTAATATTATTTCTTTTTTATAATATTTTTCTTCCTACAACAAAAAAAATTATAATTTTCCACTTCTTTCCATTAAATAAGTAAATTTTTTAATTAAGTTTTTTCTCAAATATTAGAAATAATTTCTTTTCATGTGAAATCTCTTTCTATATAAAGAAATTATGTTAATTAATTTTATGTTTTAGAGATTTTTCAACGAGTTCCAGTGCCCCGTTTCTGTAATTCTCGCATCGAGAAAATCTGTCGAAAAATTCATGATCATCTTGTGTAAAACAGGGTGAAAACAAAAAATTTGAGTACAGTTTAAAAATAATCAGAGTCACACTGTTAAAAACTGGAAGACTATTATATTCTATGTTTTTTTTTTTCGATTCGAGAAAATTACAGAAACGAGGTACATTGCTGAAGAACTTATTTGAAATACTTAAGAAACACAACACTATTCCTCAAAACCGGATGTAGAAGTAAAGGCGATATCATTATTTCCACGATTTCTTTTCAGGAATCTGAAAGTTTCTGTATGAACCGATTCTAGAAGTAGGTAAATCAGAACATATTCTCACAATATTTCTGAAGTAGTAAAGGAAAGGAACAAAATTTATTATAAAAATATTGAATTTTGTATAAAATATACAGTAATTTTATTGTGAAATAATAAGTTTTCTTAATCGGTTAATTGATATAAATTATTCGCTTTATTCGTTATTTGAAATTTGGCAATTTTCATTTATTCGAGCGATTAATCGTTAAAATTTGTGTATTTTTGTTTTTGTTCTTGACTTATAGCCCTCGGAAATTGAAATTTTTTTTAGCATAAAACGTCGATTTTATGAATTTAAATGAAAATATCCAAAGAAGTCATTTAGTTTTTATGCTTTTTTTTAATTTTCTTAATACAGGCAAATCCCGGTTTAACGAATGATATACTGTCAGGCCTTTTCGTTAAATCGAAAAATTCGTTATATCGAGATTTTTTTAAATCATTTTATTTTAATTATATAAACAAAAAAAAAACATGTATATTCATTTCATGAAGGTAATATTTTACATTTAATCTTAACAAACTAATAAGATCACAAAAATGATGTGCATATTTTTCAAAATTATTAAATTTTATGCATATTACAAGTTAGGAAGACTGGAAAAAGTCGTTTATTGAAGTTTGTTTTTGTCCTAGTTGTAAACTTTTTTGGACTGCTTCTTCCTGAAGTTCTCGCAAAACTAATGACTTTGTACAATCAATATTGTTCTGCTGACTCCATAAAATACAAGTTTCGAAACTATTTATTGCATCTGCATTTCTTATTTTAGTTTCTTGTGTAATATTGACAATTTCTTCAGGATCAACATTTTCATCGTCATCCTCTTCATCATTATCTTGATCATCATCTCTATTCCAATAATTTATATCATCTGTAGTAAATGTTATCTAAAAATAAACAATATAAACTTAAATTTCAAATTTAATATTTTAAATAAAATACGGCTTACCTCTGGAAAAACTGTACTTAAGAGCCTATTACTTCGTCTTATATTGACAATTTCCTCAATATGGAACAATTGTGCTAAAGGAATATCATCCTCCTCGTCGAAATCGCCATTGTTGGACTTTAATAATTTATGCCAACAGTTTGCCAATGTATCCGCTTTTAAATTTTTCCATGCAAGACTTATCATTGATGTTGCTTCGTAAAGATTGATATTTTTTAGGAATAGTACAATGTCTTCAGCTCCTAATGAAATAATTTTAGACAGAAGACTATTTCTGTATTGTAATTTAACTAAACGTATGGCATTCTGGTCCATCGGTTGGATGAGTGGTGTCACATTTGGAGGCATAAATATCGTCCAAATTTTTCCATCTTTAGTGGATTTTACTAATTGATCTTTAGGAGGGTGACTTGGGGCATTATCCAAAATTAATAAAGCCTTTATGGGTAGGGATTTCGATTCTAAAAACAATTCCACCTCTAAAAAATAAATTAAATCTCCTAATAAAAAGAAGTTCTGTGAAGCAGATCATACTAACCTCTGGGACAAACATCTCATAAAACCAGATTTTAAATATTCCAGCATTCATCCACGCTTTATTTGTATGAAGATAATTTATGGACAACATTTTGTTCCGAAATGAGCGGGGTTTCTTTGCCTTTCCAAACAGAAGAGGTTTAATTTTCTTTGATCCCGAAGCATTGGCACAAAGTAAAAGTGTCACCCTCTCCTTCGACAGCTTTCTACCTGGAGCAGTTACTTCCCCAGCATGCACAAAAGTTTTATCTGGTAGCATTTTCCAATACATACCAGTTTCATTCGCATTGAAAATTGCATCAAGAGTTAGATTGTTCTCGATGATAATGTTCTGGAGGTCTTTTTTAAAAGGCTCCACCAAATCGGCTCGGGATGATAACTTCTCCCCAGATTCTTTAAGAAGTCTTATGCCGTATCTTTTTTTATATCTTGACAGCCAACCGTCACTTGCATGGAATCCGCCGCTATAAAGTCTGTTTTGTATTTCAATGGCTTTGGTTTTTAAAGCAGTTCCATTAACTGGAATGTGCTTTTTCCTTTGTTCAATAAACCAATGATAAAGCTCCTTCTCCATCAGAGGATACTCACCATTCTTTAGAGATCGACGATTTTTTGACCCATTTTTGGTAGATTCTAAATTGGTCATAATATGAGTTTTCATTTTCTATAAAGTACAAATGGAAGATTTTGGTATTCCATACTTTATGGAAATTTCTTTGAGGCTTTTGCCCTTTTCACACTCATCCAATATTTTTATACCCTCCACCACCATCAGTGGTGATAAGTTTGTCGTTCCGTGTGTAACACCAAGAAATATTCATCTAAGACCCAACAAAGTATATATATTCTGGGTCGTTATGAAATTCTGAGTCGATTTAGCTATGTCCGTCTGTCCGTCTGTCTGTCTGTCTGTGTAAAACACGCTCACGTTAAAACTAAGTAAAGGAAATCAACCAAATTCACCCAAAATATTTATTATTATCCTAAGCAGTTTGGTATTGAAAATCAGCAAAATCGGTTCACAACGTAAAAAGTTATGAGTAAAAATTTCAGACTACCTCGAAAAAAATTACGTTTTTTTCCTAATTCTTTTGAAGTTTTCTCAGAAACTACAAAAGATATTGCGATGAATTTTGTCACACCTTATTTTTTTAGGGCAGTGATCAATTATGTTCAAAATCTTTACAATCGATCCAATATTTCCCGTAGCCCCCGTACAAAGGTATATATTCCCGGAAATTTGTTTATCGTTAATAACTCAATCAAATATATCGATATCAACACCAAATTTTGAACATACAAATATAATATGAACAGAAATCATACTACCAACGTAGATCTCAGTCGGTCCACAATTGGTCATAGCTCCCATTTAAGGTCCACTTCCAAAAATCACCTAAACGCACATATTTCATTGATGAATAAAGCTATTGTGATAAAATTCGGGCTGGATATGTTTTGTGTACATACAAATTATTCTACCAAATTTTTTTGCGGATCGGTCCATTATTGGTCATAGCTCCCATATAAGGCCCACTTCCGAAAATCATTTAAAAGCTCATATTTCATTGTCAAATAAAGCTATTTTGATAAAATTCGACACAAATATGTTTAGTCTAAATATAAATTACTCTACGAAATTTTTTCCGGATTGGCCCATAATTGGTCATAGCTCCCATATAAGGTCGACTTCCGAAAATCACTTAAACGCATATATTTCATTGAGTTATAAAGCTATCGGGATAAAATTCGATACAAATCTGTTTTGTATACATAAAAATCTTTCTACCAAATTTTTTACGGATCGGTCCATTATTGGTCATAGATCCCATATAAGGCCCACTTCCGAAAATCACTTAAAAGCACATATTTCAATGTCAAGTAAAGCTATCTTGATAAAATTCGACACGAATATGTTTTGTCTTTATATGAATCACTCTACGAAATTTTTTCCGGATAGGCCCATAATTGGTCATAGCTCCCATATAAGGTCCACTTCCGAAAATCACTTAAACGCATATATTTCATTGAATTCTAAAGCTATCGGGATAAAATTCGACTTGAATATATTTTGTGTACGTAAAAATCATTTTACAAAATAATTTTTTACGGATCGGTCCATTATTGGTCATAACTCCCATATAAGGCTCACTTACGAAAATCACTTAAAAGCACATATTTCATTATCAAATAAAGCTATCTTGATAAAATTCGACACAAACATGTTTTGCCCAAATATAAATCACTCTGCGAAATTTCTCCCGTATAGGCCCATAATTGGTCATAGTTCCCATATAAGGTCCACTTCCGAAAATCACTTTCACGCATATATTTCATTGAATTCTTAAGCTATAGAAATAAAATTCGACTTGAATAAGTTTTGTGTACATACAAATCATTTTACCACTTTTTTCTCGGATCGGTCCATTATTGGTCATAGCTCCCATATAAGTTCCACTTCTGAGAATCACTTAAACGCACATATTTCATTGTCAAATAAAGTTATCTTGAGAAAATTCGACACTTATATGTTTTGTCTTTACATAAATCACTCTACGAAATTTTTTCCCTTAATTGCTCATAGCTCCTATATAAAGTCCACTTCCTAAAACCACCTAAACGCACCTATTGGAGTAAAATTATACTTGATCTTTTTCTGCATTATACGAAATTGTTTCCTGATCGGTGCATAATTGATCACAATTCCCATATAAGGACCATTTCTGAAAATTACTTGAACGCACATTTTATACATAGGTATACAATTTTTTCTGGATCGGTCCATATTTGGTCACAACTCCCATATAAGGGCCATTTCTGAAAATTACTTAATCGCACATTTTATACACATGTATGTATAAAATTTGACATAAATGTGTATTTTGTATATATGTATATAAATCATTATACGGAATTTTTTCTGGACCGGTCCATAAGTTGTCTTAGCTCCTATATAAGGTTAACTGTTGAAAATCACTTAATACCACTTAATTCGTTATTAAATTATTATATCCCGATAAGATTTGACATAAGTATGTTCTGTGTATAGATAAATCATTCTAAATTTTTCTGGACCTAATCAAAATTAGTTCGACAAAAATTTTGGCGACTTATCTAAAAATAAGATAGTTAGATGGGTTTCAATAAAAAGTAGCTTGCTGGTGGAGGGTATTTAAGATTCGGCATAGCCGAATATAGCACTCTAACTTGTTACTTTTTCATTCAATAAAATTCATTTTCTGTTTCCCATGTTGATAAATACACGTGAACACTTGCACTTTTAAAAACACAATATAAACAAGTAAGAAATTATAGTCGGGCGTGGCCGACCATATGATACCCTACACCAGTTATGAATATTAAATGTGATTTATTTTTCATAATAAAGCATTTATCTTCAATATTCCCTTGTTCCGATACATTTAAGCAATTTATGGATGAAAGACTAATTTTCTGAAAGAGGCTTTATATGGGGGCTAGGGGCAAATATGGACCAAGCCCGATAAAATTTTGTGAATATATTTATATTTACATAATATTTTATTGTGCTGAATTTCATCGCGATATTTGTGTTTATAAGCTGATTTGGGACATTCAAGTAATTTTCTGAAGGGGACTTTGTATGGGAGCTAGGGTCAAATGTGGCCCGATCTTTATGAAATTTGGCAGGGTCATCAAGACTTCTATAAAACTTAGTTGTGCCGTATTTTATCGATATATCTGTATATTTAACATAATTATGAGCTCAGAAGCGCTTTTCGGGGGGTTCTGTTGTATGGGGGCTAGGTGAAATAATGGACCGATTTTAACCATTTTCAATAGGCTTCGTCCTTAGGTCAAATAAAACGTGCATGCCAAATTTCATCCAATTATCTTGAAAATTGCGACCTGTACCTTGCGCACAAGGTTTACATGGACAGCCAGCCAGCCAGCCAGCCAGACGGACGGACGGACGGACATAGCTTAATCGACTCAGAAAACGATTCTAAGCCGATTGGTATACTTTAAGGTGGGTCTAGGACGAATATTTTTGTATGTTACAAACATCAGCACAAATCCAATATACCCTCCCCACTAAAGTGGTGTAGGGTATAAAAATCAACAAAGCATGTATTAAATGCGTAGTCATTGAAAAAAAAGGTAACGGTACTCTAACGTCACTTTTTTCTTTTTCTTTACTGCTGTTCGTAATATTGAGCAAAAACATTTTTAAATGTTCGCTATAATACGAGAATAGTAATGAAGTAAGTCTCTTATAATCCAAAACCTCTTTACTAATTTTTATGTGGATCGGTCTATAATTGACCCTACCCCCCATATAAGGTCCCCTTCAGGAAATGACTTTAACGCTCATTAAATTCGACCCAAGTAAATTCCTTACAAACCAAAATCACCTAACCAAATTTTATGTGGATCGGTCCATAATTGACCTCACCCCCCTATAAGATCCCTTTCAGATAATTAATTTAACTCTCATTACTGGCTTAAAAGTACGAGTATAGAGATGAAATTCTTACGAGCCAGAAGCTCTCTACTGACTTTTATGAGATTCTGCATATTGACCCCCATAAAGCTCCCATTCAGAAAATAACTTTAAAGCTCATTACTGGCTTAGAAATACTAGAAAAGCGATGAAATTCGACACACATATATTTTATACGAGTTAAAATATAAAAAGCCGTCAATAATTAATTATAAAAAGCCGTCAATAATTAACCCTATCCCCATATAAAGTCCTATTCAGTTAATTTGATGAGTAATATCATCATGATGTTTATAGGGAAGCATTCCTTTTACGGCATACGGTTTGATGGTGGGATTCGTCACAGCCGAATATAACACTCTCACTTGTTCGTTCTAAAAAAAAGGTAGTATTTAAATTGTCTATAATATTAAACCTAGAAACATGAAATTAAGTATGTAGAGCCCGGATTTAGTGAGAACCCATAAAGGGGCGCTTTTTAGTACTTTTTCGTTCTTCAAATGTACTTTTTGAATTTTCTATATAACTGAAGTTAAAAACATAAAATTAAGTTTGAAGAGCCTGGATTAGGTAAGAACCTACAAAAGGGGACTTTTTGGTACTTTTTCGATCTACATAAGGCAGATATTTTTTTCATCTATATACATATATAAAATTCTAACGTTACTGACTGACTGACTGATTCATCATCGTACAGCCTAAACGGTTGAAGCTAAAGTGCTGAAATTTCGACAGGAGGTCGGTCTCTCACCAAATAGATCCACTAAGAAGTGATTTCTGGAAATTCGAATGTTTAGGGGGTAAAAACGGGTAAATTCGGTAACATCATATCTCCTAAACTATAAAAGATACAAAAACAGTTTAAAGGTTATCGTCGTTCATTTAAAAAATAATGGGACAAGTGTCTGGTACTTTTTTCAAATTCGGATATTCGAATAAACGGGTAAAAACTGTATTTTGGTACTTTTGTTGCACCCCATGTATCTTTTAAACCAGAGAACATTCAAAAAATATTTTTGGCTCCTTCATAACTTGATGTAAAAATAAGAACATGAATTTAGTACTTTTTGGATATACGGACGTTTAATTGTACCTATTTTTGGTACTTTTTTCATAAAACATTGTTTTTGATTGATTAACTTATACATAGAATACATAATAACGGGCTCCCAATACTA